ATCTTTGTCCAAAAGTTCTTCTTGAACAAAGAGATCAAAGGCTGATTTTATAAAATTGGTAAACATGTTAACATTTATATGCTGTTCTTCAAATGTTTTTTGCACATCTGTCACATCTATATGGCATTTCAAGAAAGTTGTCCAGTTGTCTTCAGTGATATATTCAGTAATTTGTCATGTTGTTGGCTGATTTGTTTTGGTTAATCTAAAATATGTTTAGTTAATTATTATTATTATTATTATTATTTATTATTTTTTTTTTTTTTGTAAATAAACAGCAAGTATTATTTGTAACTTACTTATTTTTCCTGATAAATTCTGGAACAAGTTTTCTAAGTTCTCATCTTAATAAAAAATTATAATCATGAAAGCATGAAAAAGCCTATTTTTGTAGTGCTGTATGATCTGATGCACTATTTTGAATATTCAGGAATAAAGATTTTAATAGTGCATCGATAACTTGTTTATTGATGACTCTCATGCGAAAGAAAAGACACTTCAAATGCATTTGAAAAGTGCCAAGATCCTATTAAATAAGAAATTAAACATTTAAATTACCAATATTGAAACAGTTGTAGGTATATACTGTAATATCTACCTTTTCAGAAAGTGCCTTAAATTTATCTGCCACCTTTTCCTAAGTAATGAATTCCTGGCCACCACCCACTTTCATTATATTTAATGCTAATTCAACAAGTTGTGGATGCTGTATTAGATACATGCAAACTTCAAGATCATTCTTAAATAGGCCAATTAAAGATGAGGTATTAATCGTGGTTGATGCTGATGGTTGCTGATCATAATCTTCTTCAAAAAAACTCTTTCTAATTAAGGAAGGTGATGTAATATTGGTCGACTTTGAACAGTTTTTATTTAATAGAAATGGTGATCATCAATCATAAGCACTTTCGGGTGACGGGCTTCTGTATGAAGAAGATGTCATTAGATGCCAATAATTGTTGGTCATAAAAACTTTTAGGTAAATTATTTCTGACTGAAGACGAGATATTTAAAGTTTGCTCATTTTGTCTT